CCCCTGCTCCCAAACTTCCATGTTCATGACAACTCTCATCTACCAATCCAGAGTAACATGCTTCTTTCTCAGTCTCTCTTTCCTGGTTATATGGAAGCCAGTTTCAGAACAGCACCTGGGAAGCACCTGAAAAGCAAGTGGGAAGCCTCCCAACAAGTACTTTGGAAGCCCTGGAAAGGCCCTGGGTTTTGTGCCCATGCATCCTCAGCATTCTGGGCAGCAATTCTTCATGATTGTTGAATAAATCTGGAATCATCACGCCCCTTTTCTGAAGCAAATTATTGGTGTTTATTGGATGTCAGTCACTATTTTAAATCCTTGATGACTACTAACTTATAGTACTCAGGATACTTTTGCATCCTTTATTTTCCTCACTTTTTATTTATTTATTTATTTATTTATTTATTTTTTAATTTTTATTAGTGAGACCCCATGAGGTACAGTTGTAGACTTACAAATTTTGTGTTGGGTTTCAATTATACAATGATCAAATACCGATCCCTCCACCAGTGCCCATTTTCCACCACCACGGATCCCAGTATATCTCCCACCCCCCATCCACCCCATCCCACCCTGCCTCTGTGGCAGGGAATTCCCCTCTGTTCTCTCTCTCCTTTTGGGTGTTGTGGTTTGCAAAAGAGGCATTGAGTGGCAATCATGTTTGGTCACTTTTTAGACAAGAAAGTCAAGGTGGAGAGTAGTTAAGCAAATTCCTAAGGTTACCCATGTGGTACAAGTAAAACCTTGGAGCTGGAGCATGAAGCCAGGTCATCTGACAGCAGAACCTGTTTGTTAACTACTCTGGTGGTTAATATTGCTTAAGAAGTTTTCTTATGGAATTGCTTTCCAGGAAGCTTTTTTTTTTTAGCACTTTCTTCCTTAATTTTGAAACTCAGCAGGAAATAAGTTACGAAGTTTGGAAGGAAGTTTCATTCCACCTTATTCAAAACAACCTGACTATGGACAGTCTGCAGCTAATAGGAGAAGTTTTTGGTTTGATGGTGGTGGTGGTGATGGTAGAGGCCACACAGACCGAAGATCAAATGAAAATACTACATGTCCAAGACTTGTGCTCTGGCCCTTGAGCTAGATCCCAAGTCCTGGAAAACTTTTTTTTTAGCAGGAATCTCCATATCTATCAATCAAGTACAGTGCTTTAATGCAAGGCACTGTGCTGGACACTGAAGGCAGCATTTTTGTCAGTCTCTGCTTTGACAAGTTCAGCAGCTCCTGGGAAAAGTAGAAATGAATAGAAGTCTTGAAAGAAACCCTCTTCCAGCATGGAAGGATATGGGGTGTTTCTGCATTGAATACTAAAAGAACCAGATATAAAATTCAGATAAAGATGGGAGAGAGAAGTGGGCCATATTTTTTGGTCAAAAGGAGATGCATTTCATTTGAAAAGAGAGGCTAAGGGTTCTCCTGGGAACTGTGTGGATTTGGATTTATGGAACAGGAGTAGTAATCTGGGCTTAGAGTCTATTTGCCACATTGATCATGTTAAAGAGTGAACTGATTGAGATACAATTTTTTTTCATTTTTATAATTTTTAAAAAATTTTTATTAGTGAGACATCATGAGGTACAGTTATAGACTTACAAATTTTTGTGCTTGGGTTTTAATTATACAATGATCAAATAGCCATCCCTCCACCAGTGCCCATTTCCCACGGATCGCAGTATCCCTCCCACCCCCCAGCGTCCCCATCCTACCCTGCCTGTGTGGCAAAGACATTACCTTTTGTTCTCTCTCTCTCTCTCTCTCTCTCTCTCTCTCTCTCTCTCTCTCTCTTATTGGGTGTTGTGGTTTGAAAAAGAGGCAATGGGTGACAATCATGTTTGGTCTATAGTCTACTTTCAGCATGCTTCTCCCATCCTGGGAGGGTACTCCCAACACCCTTTATTTGGTGCTCCCTTCTCTATCTGAGCTCCCTTTTCCCCTAGCATGTGTGGTTGGCCTCCAAGCCATGGAGTAAAATTCCTGGTACTAATCTCAGCCATTCTTGGGTGTTAGTCTCCTATTTTGTTACTCTATGTTCCCCAGATGAATGCAATCTTTCTATGTCTATCCCTTTCTTTCTGAGTCATTTCGATTAACATGATACTTTCTATATAGTACCACTTGTATGTAAATTTCATGACTTCATCTTTTCTAACAGCTACATAGTACTCTATTGTGTAAATGTACCAAAGTTTCTTTAACCAGTCATCTGTTCTCGGGCACTCAGGTTTTTTCCAGATTCTGGCTATTGTAAAGAGTGCTGCAATGAACAAACAATTGCAGATGTCACTTCAACTATGCTTTTTTGCCTCTCTGAGATATATTCCCAGGAGTGCTATTGCTGGGTCAAATGGGAGCTCAATTTCTAATTTTTTGAGAATTGTCCATACTGTTTTCCAAAAGGGCTGAACCAGTCGGCATTCCCACCAGCAGTGAAGGAGGGTCCCTTTCTTGCCACATCCACGCCAGCACTGGTCGCTTTCGTTCTTGTGGATATGGGCCAGTCTCTGTGGTGTGAAATTATATCTCATTGTGCTTTTGATTGAGATACAATTTTAATTGCCATATTTACTTTAAAAGTTCTTCCCTCCTTTGGGGGATGTTCCCAGCTTGTCCTTCACGCCCTACCAAGGTCACGAGTTGCCCCCCACGAGTGGCTCTCCAGCATGGCCATGACTCCAGAGGCACAAGAACTTAATGCAGAATCTGGCAGCTTGTAGAAGAACAGTGAATTGACTATGCATTAATCCACGGTACCATGCCTCCCCGGGAGGAAAGGGGTGTTGCTCCCTTCCACCTTTATCCCCCTGGGCAGCAAGATGGTGGCCACCTCGTAGCTTTTTGGAAAGCCAGGTATGAGCCGGTGGTGATGGGGCAACTGCAACCTCATGGGAAGGGGGGCGTTCCAGGCTTGTCCTTCACACCTTACCGAGGTCACGAGTTGCCCCCTACAAGCGGCTCTCTGCCACAGCCATGGCTCCAGAGCCACAGAAACCAATCTTGTAATTATCTGGCTCTTGGCAGAAATTCCTCCAGGCTTAATAAGTAAAATATCAGAAATCCAATCTGATAGCGGCTGCACGGCATCATATGGTTCTCATAACCAACTGTAGAAAATAAATTATTTCACAATGCCTTTTCAGCGGTTCTGATTGTTTTGTGTAAACTCTAAACAATAATGGTGCATCTTTTGTCGAAATAATGAATGTAATCAAAGTATATAGAGAGTTATGTAGAATTCATCTGCCTCACAGGCATTGGGAAGGGTGGGAGGGGGGTATATTGGGGTTCTTGGTTAAAAATAAGTACTGGTGAAGGGAAAGGTGTTTGATCATTGCATGACCAAGACTTAAACCTGAAAGCTTCGTAACTTCTCCCACAGTGATTCAATTAAAAAAAAAAGTTCTTCCCTCCTCCTCCCCCTAGGATTTGATTGGCTTCATCTATATGGGCCTTGACCTCTTGCTGAGGCCGCCATACTCATGCTTGTTCAACTGCTCCTGTATTTGTTTACATTGATGGAACACTATCTACCCACCCAGTAATCCTAGATAGCTGGGACTTGCAGGCCTTTCCCCATCTACTTTGAGGTTGCTTTTAACAATCAGTGCTGAACACCAGCTTCATGGAAGGACCTGTAGATCACACTTCAACTCTGGTGCTGAGGGCTGCAGTGTACTAGGAGAGCTACCATACTGGAGGCATCAGCTTTCCAAGCTCCTTCTTACTGACATTTGGATGCTGTTGTCTTACTAAACCAAAAGGCAATTTCTGTCTTCTGCCCCACTGATATCAATGGATTTTGCAGATTCAAGGCTCTCATGGTCTTAGCTTAGCTGGATCCAAGCAGGCTACAACTTGTCCTTCTATCTCCAGATCATTATGAGTCTCTGCAGTGTCATGTGTATGATATATACACATAGATGTTCTGCAAATGCACCCAGAAGTGTAAGAAATTAATGCCCTGTGGGGAACGAATAAATCAACAAGAGGAAGGAGACAGAAAGTTCCTTCAGATAAATCCTTTCACTTTTTCTACATACTGCTATAGGCATTGATAAAGCATGAAAATTCCACATTGCTTTCTGGAAGATGTACCATATAACCAAGAAGCAAATTGTGTTTCCTTGTGAACTAATTGCTGAGTAATAGCAAATGACCCCACTTACCTGTTTCCCTTCATAGATTTTTAAAAGCATTTTTATTGCACAAAATTTAAATTGCACACAATGTATGTACTATAAAACCCAACCACTCAATGCCTTTAAGTCAGTGAATATTTGTGTATGCACAGAACTGTGTGATCATCATCACAGATTTACAATATAGCATAACTTTAACCCCAAAGAAATCTTATTCTCTTTCCTCCGTCTCTCCATTTGCCTCTCATTTCACCTCTAAACAATAATCAAATACTTCCTATTCCAGATATATCTTATAAATTGTCTTATAATATGAAGTAATTTAAACTGGCTTCTCATAACATGAATTTTCAACGTCAATTATTTGTAGCACAAAGTATTGTATTTCATTGCATAGATGGCTAAAATTTAATTTCTCCACTCAAAAAATTTATTTCAGACTTGCTGTATCTATGCCATAATTTTAAATTATTAAATTATTAAAATGTTAAAATGAAAATTATTAAATCATTAAAATAATTAAAACATCAAAACTATAAAATATTGAAATTATTAAACCATCAAAATATTGAAATTAAAATTATTATATTGTAAAAATATTAAAATATTGATTTAATAAATAAATTAATTAAAATTATTAGCATATCAAAATTATTAAAATATTAAAATAATTAAATTATTAACACTGTAGCACTGTCCTCCCATTGTTCATCGATTTGCTCAAGCAGGCTCAGTAACGTCTCCATTTTGAGACTTGTTACTATGTTTGGCATATCGAATGCGTCACAGGTAGCTTGCCAGGCTCTCCCGAGAGGGGCAGAGGAATCGAACTCGGGTTGGTCTGTTCAGCTGCATGCAAGGCAAACACCCTACCTGCTATCGAAAATTGGAACGATACAGAGAAGATTAGCATGGCCCTGCGCAAGGATTAAATTATTAAAATATTAAAATTAAAATTATTAAAATATTAAAATTATTTAAATATAAAATTTGGGGGCTGGATCAGTAGGTATATGGTCAAAGAACTTGCCTTATTACATGATGTATTGGTTCCCTATCTGTTTTTCCTAGCCCCACCAGGAACAAGCCCTGAGCTCAGGGCCAAGAGGATGTCTGAACACAGCTGGACATGGCCCAAAAACAAAATAAATAAATATGATGAAATAAAATATCAACTCCTCATCCATTAGCAGGAATGTACTTCCACTTATTGAATTGAAAATATCTTCAACCTTAATTACATTCAGACTTTTTTTTCTCAGTATATATCCTACACTCCTTTTGCTAGACTTATTCCCAAGAATTTTATTTTTTAACATTATGATATCACTGTCCTCCCGTTGTTCATCGATTTGCTCAAGCGGGCCCAGTAACGTCTCCATCATGAGACTTGTTGTTACTGTGTTTGGCATATCGAATACATCACGGGTAGCTTGCCAGGCTCTGCCGTGCAGGCGAGATACTCACAGTAGCTTGCCAGGCTCTCCGAGAGGTGCGGAGGAATCGAACTCGGGTCGGCCATGTTGGCTGCATGCAAGGCAAATGCCCTACCTGCTGTGCTATCACTCCAACCCAACATTATGATAATGCTGTTTTAATTTTATTTTGGTTTGTGATTACTTCAGAAATAGTACTTCATATGCTTTCGTATATTGAAAATATTATAAAATATTTACTCCACTTAATAGTATTTTAGTTATTTAAGATTATCTATAAAAATGATCATGAAATATATTAGAAATAGTTTTAGTTTTCCTCTTTCAAACCGGATGTCATTTTTCTTACTTGTCCATTGCTCTGGAAAGAACCCTGAATAAAAATGGTAAGAATGGACATCCTTATTCAAACCAAGATCAGTCACATACAATGCAGGTTCATAATTTCCTGTTCTAGTTCTCCAGCCCTGATCATGTGATGTTTACTGATGTTTTGTTTAGTGTGTTTATTTTACTTTTGTTGCCTGTGCTTTTGCTGTCATATTCAATAAATCATTGATAAAATAAAAGTAAAAAAGAATGGACATTCTTGTCTTGTTCCTAACCCTTTGGGGAATTCATCGAATTATTACCATCAAGGATGATGGTTGGTTATCGATTGTTGTAGGTATCTTTTTATCATGTTTATCATGTTGAATGCCTCTCTCAGTTTGCTTAAATTTTAGTCTGTGGATTATGTCTTTCATTCCATTAATTCAATGAATTTAACAATATTAATGACAGGGATCATTAGTGGTGGGAAATGTACACTGGTGAAATGGTGGGTGTTAGAACAATATCTGACTGAAACCCAATCATGAGAAACTTTGTAACTGTGTATCTCACTGTGATTTAGTTAAAAAAGAAAAGAGTGAAATCCAAAGCTCTATGGATTCAACTGTTTTCTGATTGTAATACTATACTGTGATTATGCAAGGTGTTACCATTATTACAAAAATTGGTGATGGATGATAGGAGAATTCCAGCACATATTTGGCAAGTCATATTTAAATTTTTAAAAAATAACCTTGGATGTTAAATCAATCTTGTATTCCTGGGATTAATCCCATTTGATAGAGGAAAGATTATAGTTTTATCTTATTGAGAAATTGGCCCTTTTATTATTTTTCTATAAAACTTCCTCAGTCTCTAGTAATATTTATCTGTATCAATTTTGTTTATCATTCGTATAACTACTCCAGTTCCCTTACTATACTGTTTACATGATATAATTTTCCATTCTTTATTTTCAACCTACTTAAGTTTTTGAATCTAAAAGTTGATCTTCCACATGCAACATATAATATTATTTTATTATTTTTAATGAATTTAGACATGATGACTTAAGCAGTTCTTAGTACTGATTATGTTCCTTCCTCCAAACACCAGGTCATAGTGTTTGTTACTGACCTTTGTTTTTTTGTTTAGCAATTTGACAGAGAAATTTTAGAAATGTCTATTTCCGTAAGAACACTATGGAAAACCTCATTTTGGGGAGAAGGAAGAGTAAAGTAAAAAATGAAGAAGAAATGAAATCGCTATTATAAAGAAACAAGCCATTATAAGGATATTACTGCCATCTTTTCTAAATAAAGTGATTAACCTACTGAGTGACTTAGTGATTCACCTGACCTCATTTAGTGGCTAGACATGATCTATGTTAGAGTAATACCACAAAGGAAAGAGAGAAAATATATAAATGTAATCTCTATATTTTATTGTCTCACTAAGAAGTTGCAGTTTTGTGTGCTGATCCTCAACCCTTTCTGTCTAAATTTTCTAATAATATTTACTGGTTGTTTATATATATAGGATCAAATACACTCATTAATATGAAATATGATATCAAAATAATTAAAATGTTAAAAAATTAGTGCCAATTTTATGCCAATTCTTTTCTCTTTTAATGCTTTAATACGTGTCCTCTTTTAATCATCTCAGGTTCTCCAAGAGCTAGCTCTTTTATTCTCATCCTTTTCAAATAAGTTCGTTTTGAGAAACTACGTGGCTAACATCTAAAGATATGAAAAATTGAGCATATCTATAGGCTTTATCTGAAAATGCTTTCATATATACTCAGTTACAATGTTATAATTTTTTTAAGAGAATAACAAAATTCTATTCTCTTTCTATGCTTCCTCTTCCTCTCCACTGATAACTTATATATATGTATACAATATGACTAAGTGTTATAGAATAATTCTGGTATACACCTAATATATGCGTAATTATTAATAGCTCGTCTTTTTTCTCAAAGATGTCCAGGTTTGAATGATAATTAAAAGGTCTCATCTTTGCACATTCCAAGGTGTGGTACTGAAGCCTCCCGCTAGGTGTCAGCAATGTAACCTCCTGAAAACCACCCAAGGGAAAGCATTTCACTACAAAAGTCAAATAATTAAGTGTAGTTCAAAAGCTACCAGCAGGTTAAGCCATTCCAAACAAATGACAGCGCAGGGGGAGGAGAGAAGGAGCAGGTACAGGACAGGTTACTTACTGATCTCTGGGAGAGAGAGAGGATTCCCTTCCTAGTTAGAATGAGTCCAGTCCCATCTGAAAGGAACATCATGGTCTTTTCTGTTTTCATTCACAAGAGAGTGTGAAGTGAGGACACAGCTGTGAATGGAGATATTTTTGCTTTTCAGACATTGCTCTTCAAAGCAGGATGTTTTCACAGGTAGCTCTTCGGTTTTAACAAGCCAATTGAGTGACTGTATTTGTCAGAAGCTGACTTGCCTGAACACAAAGCCTTTAGAGGTGATTTGAAAACATCTACATTCAGAGCTCAATAGCATACCTGTTTGGAAGCCTCAGAATGACCCACCGGCTCTACTTATACTACCTTTGACCCAGGTGGATGCCGCAGTTCCCTAGAAACTGGTTTCACTTCACATGTGTGACACACAATGGCACTTTGGGTGAGCGTGGGTTTTCAGATGCGTATGACTTACAGTCCTTGGAAATGGTTGGTATTGTTAGTGGCCCTCAAGTGTTCTGAAGCATCTTCTGATTTGGAAAAATCTACTAATTCTACTGCTCAGCATGAAACTAATGTTCGGTTTGCTGCTGCCAGCTCAGAACCAGATGAGAAGATATCTGTCTTTGCACTGGATTATGACTATGTGCAAATTCCTTATGAGGTCACCCTCTGGATTCTTCTAGCATCTCTTGCAAAAATAGGTAAGTCCCCAAATACCTGGCTTTTATAGTTGTTTTATGCAAGAGAAATATATATATATGTATATATGCCTTATAGAAGATGAGCTAATGAATTTTTAACATTACTGTTATGCCATGAAAATCTTGTTACCCTAAGTCAAAGGAAATCCTGGCTACTTTTAATAAAGTCATATAATACATAATACTTCAGAATTGTGCATTAAAATCTAAAAGCATACATCTGAGTCACAGTTGAAATAAATAAATAAATAGGAATTTATTTATTCTTATTTCTGGATGATAAGCATGTGATCAACTTTATTTGGCATTAAAAACTATGCTTTTGAGAAATATAGGGTAAATTTGCATATGGATCTTGGAATTATGCTCATTGGAAATTACAAGAAACACATAATGGTTTTTCTGTGAAACAGTCTTCCTTCTTTCTTGGCTGTATAACCTTGAATTTGATCAATAGGTATCATTGTTTATTCTTTAAAAGTGGTGTGTTCCTTGCAAATTGAAAGACAGAAAGGAAACTAAACAACCACAGGTGTCTCCTACCACTCAGTGATGGGAGATGGGGATAGGAGATGATATCTTTCAGTAAAATATTATTTTACACCTGAGTCAGGTGGAGTGAGTGGGATGGATACCTCTGGTTTCCTTTGTGAAATAAAGGGGATGCAATTTAATGGATTAAGTTCTAGTCAAGGGTTCTTTGTAATGAAAACTAGAGTGATGGTTTATAGCCTGTTAGTTTAATCCATAACTCTACACACTTTGTTTTTTAAAACCAGCTTATTCCAAAGTGAAAAATTGAAACAGGTATTTCAGATACTATCTTCTTATCCCAGTGATGGACATAATCTTTGAGCAGATATATTATTTTATTGATATAGAATCTATGAAATATATTGGTGCTCATTATATTCTTCCTCTATGATGGACGTAACAAATGGGTGAGTCAGGTATTTGTCTCTTAGCTCCTGATCATCAGGATTGTGGAGCATATCCATTCATCTAACTCTCTCTACCAGGATGTTGGGAACACTGAGGCATTCAGTCATTATGTGCTTTTCTATAATTTATATTAATTTTAAGCTACAAACATAACTATTGAATGAAAATTGTAAGCCTGAACAGCTGTTGTGTGATCTGTCAAGTAATTAAATTATATGATGGCCCTTGCATTGTTTATAAAAGTCCCATTTTGGTTTCCATATAATATTCACAGTTCAAAACTAGAAGTCTAATACTTTCAGTGCAGACTTGTGAACAATGAGATGTTTCATGTAAACTTAAATGAATGCTGAGTTTCATTTGTAAACAATGCTAGGAATTATGTCCTTTCTTCTTCATGGTATGGAGAAGTTGGTCTGGGAATCAGAAAGTCAGATCTGCAACTGATTACCTAATTTACTTTGTCTTTGTGAACCTCAATCTATTCATCTTTGAAATAAGAATTTATATAATTTCTTTTCAGTGTGAATAAGAATTTTCTGTAAAAATAGAATTATATTCCATATCAGCAAACATCTCAGTGAAGAAATGTTATGTTCCGACTCTCTATAAAATGTAGGTTGTTCTTTATACTGGATATGCTCAGTCTACCTATGTGTAGAAATTGAGAGGAATATAGGAATAACTTCACAGAACTTAGTTTAAATATTCTTGATTTTCATGTTGATAGAATACAGAATATTTAGGGAAAAAATAATATGGGGCTATAGCAAAAGTACAGAGGGCAGCATTCTTGCCTTGCTTGCAGCTGGCCTGGGTTCAATCCCAGGCACTACATAGATATCCCTACCTTGCCAGGAGTGATCCCAGAGAACAGAGCCAGGAGTAATCCCTCAGCATCACCAGGTATAGCACAAAACAAAAAGAAAGTAAATAAATACCAAAGAAAAACAAATAACTCAAGTAGACCATCAACTATTAATGGAATCAAAATTCTTAGGTACAATTTTATAGTTGCTACGCTAAGAATCAGATTTTTTAAAAAAAATTCCATATTTATTGAATAAGCACATTATACCAAGTAAAGGTAAAAGGTAAAGGCCCTCCCGTTGATCGTCGATTTGCTCGAGCGGGCCCAGTAACGTCTCCATTGGAGACTGTGTTGTTACTGTGTCTGGCATATCCAATACTCTCGGTAGCTTGCCGGGCTCTCCGAGAGGGGCAGAGGAATCGAACTCGGGTCGGCCATGTTGGCCACTTGTAAGGCGAACGCCCTACCCGCTGTGCTATCGCTCCAGCCCATTATACCAAGTACTTGGCTTAATTATTTTATGCTTTTATATGGCATCTCATTAACCTAAACCAAAAAAAATACATAAAGGAAACTTAAAGACTTCAGGAAATCATATAATATTTAGATGGGTATAGCCCTGGAGATCAAGGTGCAGGAGAATCTAATACATCATGCTCTGTAACAACCCCCAGAAAAACCCACTACTCCTTTAATTTTCCCTCACCAGCTTCATTGAGATATAACTGACAAATAAAAATTATAAGAAGTTCAACTGGGTGCAACATCCCTGATTCTTTTCAGAATACAACTATACATGTTACCAAATAAAGTTACTACAGAACAAAGTTAGGATAAATTATCTTTGACTCTGTAGTTTGACCTTTATTTTATTTCCATTTCTTGAAACATTTTAAAGGAAGGTTTCTTGGCTTATTGATCACAATAGAATTGTCTATCTTTGACTTTCAGGAAAGACTGACCTATATGACAATTTTAGTTTCAAGCACTTGTAACTATAATTAGGTTATTGGATATATATATAAGAATGATAGAGCCGGGCTGGAGCAATAGCACAACTGGTAGGGCATTTGCCTTGCATGCAGCTGAAGCGGGTTAGATTCCCAGCATCCCATATGGTCCTCCGAGCACCACCAGAAGTGATTCCTGAGTGCGTGAGCCAGGAGTAACTCCTGTGCATTGCTGGGTGTGACCCAAAAAGAAAAAAAAAAGAAAAAGAAAAAGAAAGAATGATAGAGTCTACTGCTCATCATAAAAGAAAAGAAAGTTGCAAGGTATGATGTAGTACATAGCGTTTTCCTTTACTTCATGCCCTACTCATAGCATGAAATATTTTTCTAATACTGCTATGTAGATGCAGCTTAGCTTAATGTTGGATCTAATCCAGCAAACCCAATTCCCAGAAGAACAAACTTGGGAGACAAAAAATTCCAGTCTGAGAAACCACATTAGGGTCTTTTTATATCCTTCACATATTTCAAATTTGAGTCTGAGGAAGGTGAGGGAAAGGAAACTGTTATTTGGGATCACAATACTTTAGAAGGTGCCGCAGGATGGTTTTTAGGCCCATGGCTTTAAGGGCATGGTTTGGAACAGTGTGCCTTGATGGTAACCGATTGAACTGTATTAATCTGCCTTTCAGTAGTGACTGGAAACATTGAAAACTATGGTCAGGGAAATCAGCATGCTCTTTGGAATTTTAGGGAGACATTTAACAGCTCCCAATAGTTCTCCTTTATTTGATTCAGAATTATCTTCTCGATATTCTTTCCAATTTTTTTTCTAGCCAGATGGCTCTTGTAGAGCAAGGTCAAAAATAGTTAGTTAGTTAATTCCTGTCACGCCTTTTTCTTTTAACATTTTGAAATTTTTATTTTGCTTTCTGGGCTGGAGCGATAGCACAGTGGGTAAGGCGTTTGCCTTGCACACAGCCAACATGGCCGACCAGAGTTCAATTCCTCTGCCCCTCTCGGAGAGCCTGGCAAGCTACTGAGAGTATCTCACCCGCACGGTAAAGCCTGGCAAGCTCCCCGTGACGTATTCAATATGCCAAACACAGTAACAACAAGTCTCACGATGGAGATGTTACTGGGCCCGCTCGAGCAAATCGATGAATAATGGGAGGACCGTGACCGTATTTTGTTTTCCATCACCCGGCATTTCCCAGTTCACCTTAATTCCATTTCATAAAGGTAAAGGCCCTCCCGTTGTTCATCAGTTTGCTTGAGCGGGCCCAGTAACATCTCCATTGGAGATTTTGTTGTTACTGTGTTTGGCATATCGAATACATCACGGGTGGCTTGCCAGGCTCTGCTGTGTGGGCGAGATACTCTCGGTAGCTTGCTGGGCTCTCCGAGAGGGGCAGAGGAATCGAACTCGGGTCAGCCATGTTGGCTGCTTGCAAGGCAAATGCCCTACCGCTGTGCTATCGCATACTCTCGCTATTTTTTTGTCAAAATTTAGTTGACAATATATAGATAGGTGGTTCTCTTTGGATAGTCTATTCTGACCCATTGATCAGAGAGGCTATACTTATTCCAGTACCACACTATTTTGATGAATATAGCTTTATAGTATAGTTTTATGTTGTCTAGTGAAATGTCTCCATTTTCATGTTACTCAGTATGATTTTGGCTATGTGGGTTCTTTAATGACTCCATACAAATTTTATTATTGACAGCTCTAAGTTCTTGAAGAATACTGTCTAAATTTGCATAGGAATTCATTGAATCTATATTGTAGTTTAGGTATGATGGTCATTTTGACAATACTGATACTTCCAATCCAAGAACATGGTAAATATTTTTTCATTTTCTAAGGTCTTCTATCTCTCTTGTTTTGGAGTTTAATGGTTTAGATCTTTATCTCTCTTGTTAATTTGATATCTCTGTACTTGAAGTATTGGATCACTTGATCACTTGATCACTTGATCACTTGACATCCCGTTACTCATCGATTAGCTAGAGCAGGTGCCAGTAATGTCTCCAGTAATGTCTCCTGTCACATGCTAGTGTAGCCCAATGGCATCTGCTCATTCTAGGAACACAAAGAGCCTCAAACCGATAATTCAGGGTCTTGAAGAAGTCTGACCATCTCGTAGGCAGCCATGCGATCTTTTGACATCCCATGGAATCTAGTCAGTAATGGCACTAGTCTTCAAATTTCATTATGTGTCCAGCCCATCTGATTTTTGACGCCTTGGTGAACGAGACAGAGTCCCTGATTCTTGATTGTCAATGGAGATTGA